AACATAGAACAGTAAATAAAGAAGTAAAGCAAAAAATTATCTCTTCTATTTATGACCTTTGTACTTGGTTACTGCTTTTTTTAGGTTTTATTTATACATTTGAATAACTAAGAAAGCATAAATTACTACATTAATACCATGGAATTCCACCATGTATTTTAGCCTTAAAAAATATGAAATTTGGAGCAGACTAAAGACACACCCTACTTCCTTGAAATATTGGTTCAAAAGAAAGAAATGGCATCCTAAGAAATTAAAATGGCTGAGAAAGCCACTAGGGGGACATTCTGAACTTCCAACTGGTTATTTATGTCATATATAGAAGTGTATATAAGTGAGCATTTCCAAAAATGGAATGAGGTGTGTGGGGTGCCATTGTGTGTGATTTATTACATGAGCAATATCTTAGCAAACTGAAAAGATAAGCAGCTCTTATTTTATATTCTAGCTTGTCAATATCGGTAATTTGAGTTTCTAATTCGTACAAAAACTATATACTTAGTATTTTGACTTCTCAAATATCTAATTTAAACCAGTCCTGCATTCAACATACCACGTGACACACAAAATCGATGTTTATCTGTGTTTTTTTAATATTTGCTTTTAAATTCAGAAATTGAGTAATATATAGTATCAAAATTTGAATTATGATTTACAGTTTGATACCAAAGTTATTGACATAACTTCATGAAATAGTAGTTTAATAAAATTTTGAATGGGAGTCAACAAACAAGATGATATGGCCTTTCACCCTTGACCCATCTCGAAAGGGTTAAACTAAATATTCAGTCTATTAGCAGCAGAAATAGAAATACTCTGGTGAAGAACAATTTATCTTGGTCAAACTAGACTAAAGAAATGAAACACTATTTAGCATATTTACATACCTGAGGTTGATGTAAGCTGTCTCTAAGTACAATTTGAAGAACCTTGTTCTCTTTAATCCATTCCTAAAAGAACAAGAAGATATAAGCTAGTACTACATGAAGTTTCTAAGCTAAACCTTAACAAAAAAATATTTAATAGGACATACAGATCATGACATCTTAGTAAAAACCATTTAGAGAATTCAACAATTTATGTAATCTGATGCTCAATGCAAGGTGTATTTCTAACCAAGCCAGAGAAGTAGGCAGAACATGTCCCTGGTGCTGGCTTTTTCCATGATAGTCCAAGGAATTGATACGGTCTAGGTCACATAATAGAATGAATATATATATATATATACCATAAGGCTACCTCAAGTGGTCTTGCGAAACACCCTATCTCACAGTAGGCACATAAAAAGTTAGGACAGGATGTATGAATGCTTTGCTTTCTGTTATCCTGGCTCGATGCAGATTTTTGGTAATTATACCCTGTAGGCAACACCAGCCACCTGATGGGATCTTTTGGAATGAAAAAGAGGTTCTGTAAGAGAAATAGTAAGTGTTCTTCTCAAACACAATGGGTGATTGAAGAATAGTGATCTGTGAAAGCTGAAAACCATCAGAAGAGAAAATAACCTAAGTGGTTGAAGTCAAAGGAAGAAAAGATCGGTCCAGAAAGAGGAAGAGATAAGTGTGGTGGAAGAGGAGCATCTATAAGAAAAGTATTGGAACAATAGTAACTGTAGGGGAGAAGTAGGAGGAAACAAGGCAGGAAATAATAACAGTATAAAAGTCAGGAAGTCAGCAGCTCAAATGGAGCATGTATGAGATTGTGCAAAACCTCATTAAGGTTTCAGTCAAGCAAAAAATGTGAAAAAATAATGCTACATTAATTAAAAGCCCAGCCTGATGGGCAACAGATTGGGCAGAGGGAGCATATCCTTCTGCCCAATCTGTAGGAGCAGAAATGGAAACACGCTCATAGAAGAGTGAGCAGGTCAAGCACATTGATGTGGAGTGAACTCTTGTTCAATGTCCATATATCTGAAGTCCTGCCTCAATCAGAGAGAGAAACATCAAAGGGAGAGATAGTCGGAAAGGTAGTAAGGGAATGCAGGAAGATGTACGAATGCAGTCTAGGAACCATGACAAGTCCTTGAGGAGAGGCTCACAAAAGAGGATAAAAGACCCCGAGAAAAGAAAAATGTGGGTCCGCAAGGTCAGTTGTAGGAGATACACAAAGGTATGCCCCAATGGAATGAGAAGTTTTAGGGAAGAAAGTTTCTTTAAAAGTGGAAGAAGCTCTCACACAGGAAGAGAATGGGAAGTGGAAAACCCAGTGACCAGATGTTATCATTTTCCTAATGTTAAAATGTATTTCCAAACATACTTACCTCTGCTGACACTTATAGCTATTTCTCGATCTTCATCTTTGCCATCTATACATCGTGTTTGCTTGCTCCAGTCTTTATACTCCACTCAACTGCCCTCGGCAATATCTGATTTGCAAAACTTTACACCATCCCTCACACACCCTCTATGCAGGTACTGCATATAAGCACTGTATGTCAACAATATAATCACTTTTTTTAGACTTACCCCATCCCAGTCACTAACATCGGCTCTTAGAAGGGAGGGTGAGTGTCAGCGGAGGTAAGTATGTTTGTAAATACATTTTCTGATTAGGATAATGATAACTTTGAAAACATACATACCTCCGCTGACACTTATAGCTAGAGTCCCACATTGAGAAGGTGGAGGGGCCAGTGAAGGCATTGTTCAAACAGAAAGCGTCTGCATAGAACAAAGGTGTACCATGAGGGGTAGTACCCAAGCAGGGAAAACTGCAATACATCCAGAACAGGTATGCACTACACCCAGAACTACAGAAAAGTGAAAAGGGTGGAATATTACACATTAAGTATGATGGGCCAGCTCCAACCACGCAGCCGAGGTTCCACAACTCGGGGCTGGATTTAAAGGATCATGGTACCAATATCTCCTGTTAGTGGCAAGGGCAGTTAAACTGCAAGTAAATATATATCTTTGTGATAGGATCCCCCATAAGCAGCCTTGGAATGATGCATTTCGAAAGAAAGCAACATCAAAATAGACAGTCCTTCTGATCAACTTGAATAAGTCCAAAAGGCTACATCCCAGGCTTGGACTGATGGGATCATATATGCCAAGGTCCAGAACTCATCCTGTCTGGATTTACAAACTTTTATTTTCACATTCCCACCAGATAGCTAAGCATCAAATCTGGACTGGTTTTATGAGGTTGGTCCTGCTCCTACTGACATCTGGAAAAACTTTCAGGGACCCCAAATTCACCCTCTTCTCCAAGAGTGGAGAAAACTCAACACTTTGAATGAAAATCCTCTGTCCACCACACCAGCAACTGGGAACTGGGTGTGGTAAGGACTCCCTAGCTCCACTAGAAGTAGTAGGGGGACATGTATGTGGTGGGGAGTCCTGAGGAACAGGTCTTTGGACACAGTGCAACAGGTGAATCATGTTCCCTAAGTTTTAAAAGCAAACCAATCTTGACTCATTCAGCTATAAGATCAGCAAGGACTGGCAAAATCCCCTTTAGCTTTACTCATGATAGTCCATGAGTAGCGGTCCATTGGATTTGTATTGTGAGATAATACTACCATCCAGAATTGCATCTAGATTGTCTTATGGAACACCTCATCTCGACAGAGCCTGTTGCAACCATGAACCAATATAAAGGTTGCTAGTGCAGAATTGAAAAAATACAAGCACACCTGACTGAGTGGGATCCAAAGTAAAGTAAAGATGGGGGGGGGGGGGGAATCCCACAGAAGAAGAAACTGCCAGATCATGAGGGTAATGAGATAGGCCCGCAAAATATCCCCCAGAGAAAAGTTCAGACGAGCTGACAATGACATTGATAGATGCTAAATCTGGTGAAAAGTGATGTGAATTATATTCCGATCTTCAACAGATAACCCCGAATAGGCTATAGGAATAAACTCCCGAAGTCCATTAAAGAATTGGTGATAAATTCAGGGACACTGCAGGATCCCACTAAATAAAAAACCAGTGCATAGGGCCCTGAAGAGTTCTGTACAAGCCACAGAACATTTAAGTGTTCCGACTGGACACAAAAAATCTGGGTATGATAGATTATAAAGATGAGAAATGCCTGGGAAAAGAATAGGAAAAAAATAATTTATTCCCTTCTCTGGCAGTAAGAGTGTTCAGTAGGAAGGATCTGTCTGGATAGAGCAAAAAAATAGGTGGTCATCCAAAGATCAGGTGTGAAGTGTCACTGAAGTAGAAGAAAAGATTCTATGGTGAAACGAGGAGGCTGTAGGAAGAGATTGAGTAGAGAAAGATTGATGATAAGAAGCCTATCTGTAGTGTTCTTGGTCACCAGAAAAAGATGAGAATAGAAACCTGGATGAATGGGATCGATCTTCTGAACGGGTAGACACCACTGGTGCCATCCTGACCTTCTGAAGATCCCCGAGAATAAGGATGGAACCGATTATGTAAACCAATAGGACGAAGTGTCGAAGGTGGGGGGCCACAGAACGCAAATGATCGATCCTCCAGAATTACCCGTTGGAGTAGAAGAGAGGCGAGCAGCCAATGATGATAAAGAGAAGTGCAAATGTGGTGTATAAAATCCTGCTTTGAAAGTTTCAGGAACTCCAACAAACTAGTAAGGCTGAAAACGGGGCAACTCCTGGAAATCACGAAGAGTATCACAATACAGTAGTAAGAGTTAAATGAATATGCGAAAATGGAGATCTGATAAGAGAGATAACAGGTTCTAACTTGGAATCCCATAGATCCAACTGTTGAGTGTCCAAATATACTACAGCCAGACAATGATAAGCCAGGACATGTTGTTTCGATAAACGAGGGGAGCAAGGCATAGCAATATTCTCTCGTAATTGCATTGCAAACATCCCAGCATACAAGGCACACAGGGGATAGGAGGAAGAACTAAGTAATCCCCCCCAAGATCTATCTGACAACAAAGCAGGGTAGACTCAAAAGCAAGGGGTGAATCAACAAAGCTTCACAAACTCACGTAACTAACTGCAGAAAAGAGGCAGAAGGTGGCCAATCAGATGAGCCCACAGTAGAGGCAGCTCTATTGAAAGAAGGAGCAGAAAACAGCGTCTAAATTCTCGCCAGTATATTCAACTCTGAACCCCTGGGGGGAAAAAACCCCGGGCCGCATGAAGAACTCCAACTCATCCCGAAGCAGGTCATGAACAGCCTCCACCAAGAGTGGAGTTGTTGTTATTGAACCGCAAAAGAAAACCAACGAAATATCAACATCGGGGAGAAAAAAATGCTTTATCAAGAAAATGTGATTATATTGTCGACATACAGTGCTTATATACAGTACCTGCATAGAGGGCGTGTGAGGACCAGTGTCAAGTTTGGAAAATTAGATATTGCCAAGGGCAGTCAAGTGGGGTATAAAGACTGTAGCAAGCAAACACAATGTTTAGATGGTAAAGATGAAGATCGAGAAATATCTAAGTGTCAACGAAGGTATGTATGTTTTGGAAGTGCCGTACCTCACAGTTGAAGATGAGAGTCCAAAGGTGGATAAAACGAGAGAGGAAGAAAATGCCCAAAATTAACAATGCCAAATGGGTGTGAGAAAGGGCTTATATCCCAATATAATGCCCCCACCCCCAACTGAGTAGTCATTGTAAAAGAAGGGAAGTAGGAATTGAGGAAACATCTGAGTGTGGGCTGACAAATATAAATAGTCAATGGAAAAGAACATCAGCTATGGGTCATAAATATAATAAGGGAAGAACCTCACAAAAGCAGCAGAAAATAAAACCAACAGCAGCAGAAAAGGTGGATACACAAAACCTCAAGTGTGTGAACAATCACTGACAAAAAGAGTGACAGATGAGACATTAGAGAGGAAAGCCTGGAATCTGGAATGGGAAGGTCAATAGGAAAGTTATCTAAATGAAGAATAGAAGTAATGGACACAGTCGAGAAAGTGGATGAAACCCTGGAAAGAGAATGAGGATTGAAGTAGTAGATCATTAGTCTAGGATACCAAGGAGAAAGAAAAGCCAGTGCAGACATCTGGTCGAGAAATGAAGTACACACAAAAAAAAAATTGATGTGTATAGAATAGGACACACCTGACTCGAAGTGTCCCAACTCCAGGAGAACAAAGAATGGAAGGATACAGCAGAACAATTGGCATAGGTCACACAGCGAAAGGAAAGAACATCCACAAAGGCCCACATGAAGCAGGAAGAAGTGCCTCAGATAAAAGGCAAAAGAAGGAGAGGGAGTACAGAGTAAAGAACAGTAGAGAGAAAAAGATGAAAATGTGAAATAGAAAGTAAGTGGCACAATCCCAAAGCTGGCCAGATAGACACTAATGAAAGGAAATGAAGAAAGGCTACAAACAGGACAAAAAGAGGTACTAAAGAGATGGGGACAAGAATTTTGGGCATGAGAAAGCAGCTACTAGAGAAAGGAAATTTTAATAACATGCAAAAAAGAAAACAAAATTTAAACCCAAGAAATAGGAGTCATGGAGTGAAAAACGAAAAGTAATAAAGGAAAAGATCATATTCGAAAATGAAATCCAGATAGAGAGAATGGAAGGTTAAGACTGTATCATGAATGGTAAGGAATTACTTAAAGCAAAACAGGTTAAAGACACAGTCTAACAGATCATTTTCGATTGAGGAGAAAGAAATGTGGCCAACATGATGGGAGTAGGAGGCCTAGGAAGCATGTTGTTGTAATCCACAACACATTGAACAATGGCTGCATTGACCCCAACAGCTGACGAGCCTCTTAACACCATAGAAGATTGAGACTTAAGTGTGAATCACTTAAATTTAAGGACTAAATAAAAATTACCATCATTTGGGAATTCATGATAAAAAAATTAATGCTTTTGAAACAGAAGCTAAAGAGAATGAATATAAAAATTTTGTTAATGATGCAAATCTCAATAACTTGAACACAGGCAATAATTTTGAACACTTCCATACAATATAATGCTAAGGAAAAGAATGAAGTACATAGAAGGAGTTACCGAGCATGGAGGTGTGTCACCCTCCTATTGGTTGAGGGTTTTTGTTACATGATGACATCATCATGCAATAGCGTATTTCATGAAATTAGGTGAGATTTGCCTCAAGGGTAGTGGCATGCAAATCTCTTTGGCATATGCACTGGGGAAGATAGCTGAACTGTGTGCGAAGGTGAATTATCATCTCTCGAATACATTTTATTCCATTGTATTCTTATTCATCCCATCATACTGAGCATTTCTGCTAACACTGCAATTTTTATAAGCACATAGTGCTGATATCTTTCTTAAAACCTAAAATGTATAATAATAACATAAAATTCTTTACATATAATGTTAATATCACATATCATGCACAAAGTAAACTACAATTCCTACTAAACTTACTGCCATTCTTTCTGCTGTAAGCCACTCTTCCTCCTCAATACCTGTATGGCGATGGGAATAATAAGACACACTAGCTATCACCTTGTTAACTTCATTAAGAGCATTCATTTTCCCATTAAAGGAGGAGATCTGTAACAACCTAAAAAAAGGATCAGTTGTAAATATCTTCTAATGTCAAAGGTTTCCTTCTTTTATACTTTACATTATCTTGAGTTATGCATGATATAGCAAATGATTTTTCAATATTCCTATTTTTAAAATTGTACAGAAATACAACAGACACAAAATTACAGAAAACAGAAATTGGTGTTTGTCAAGATATTAAAGACTATTTAGTTTTATATTATTGATTAATTTATTTTGAGTGAATATTTTATTATTGTTTAGTTTTTGTTATAATAAGAGTTAAAAGTAGACAATTGTTGGAAGTTGCGTTTATAATTCATTGATGTTGAGACTTCTTAATGCCGCAGAAGACATGATGTCAAGAACACAGAGATTTCTATAAGGCGGGCAGACGATTAAGTGATAAATATATAAATAGTGTGAGACAAGCAGAAACAGCAGACAGACAATAGCAGAAAAAAGTAAAGTTACAACAAGGAAAAGTTTGGCGTGAAGTTAACTTCCGTTGAAGTGATAGGCCTAACGATTGACATAGGCCTAAAATCTAATATGTTAGAGTAAGACTAACAGCATAAAAGGAGATAAGAAGAAGAATTTATTCCATCAACGTGTGGTTCTAAAGTAATTGAATCAGCCTGAGTGCACTTTGACAAAAGGAACAAAGGACATTTAGAAGAAAGAAGACCAAATGATAATGGTAATTAAAATGAGAGAAAGGAGAGGCTGGAAAGAGAGAATGAGAATACAAATTGAGAACGCAAAACTCACCCAAATGAAGAAAGAAGGACCCTAGAATGACAATGGAGTCAAGGCCAGCCAACCCAAGCTGCCCAAATTTGATGAACATAAAGATGACATGGATGTTTTCCTGGAGAGATATGAAAGATTTGTCCAAAGTTAGAACTGGGACAAAGGCAACTGGTCAATCTGTCTCAGCCCACTTCTCACAGGAAAAGGCCTACAAGTATATGCAGGTATGACATCAAAAGATGCCATGGATTATGACAAATTAAAAGTGGCTATACTGAAATGATATGAACTTATTGAAGAAGGATTTCGTCGTAAGTTCAGAGGAGTCAAACCCAACACTGGAGAAACTGTATTTCACTTTGTGGCATGTCTGCACTGATATTTCACCAGATGGACTGACATGGCCATGTGTGAAAATATTTTTGAGGGACTGGCTGACCTATTACTATGTGAACAGTTCATGACCATGTGTTCAACTGACATGTCACTGTTGTTAAAGGAGAGAGCACCAAAAAAAGTAGATGAGATGATCAAACTGCCAGAACAGTATATGGAAGCCCATGAAGGTAGTATAACTGGCAGGTCCAAGAATGTCCAGTTGAATTTGAAACCAGTAATGGCTGACCAGAAGCAGGAGTTTACCAAAGGTGACAGGAGGTTAACAGACAGAAGGTTTGTTATAAAATGGGACACATTGCAAAGGAGTGCAAGTCCATTATCAGCAAACAACAGCAGAAACCTCAACATAAATCAGCTGGAGCTATTTACCAAGACAGTGCTGGTAAGAAACAAGAAAAAGTGACTGGCACTATGGATGCTGATACCAGAAGAAAGAAAATAAAGACTACTTGTCAAATTCAATACAAGAAAGCCTGACTGATCAGTGCACGACTAACGGTTGGCTCAAGTTAGCAAACGGATCAACAGTGTCAATAGTGAAGGGAGCATGTGACAAATATCAAGAGGTGCCAACAAATCAGAATATGCCAATATGTGAAGACAAGAAAGTGAAGATTCTACAAGACACTGGGTGCAGTAGTGCAGCAGTGAGAACCAGTCTAGTATCCGATGATCAGATGACAGGTAAGGTAAGCCTGTGTGTGCTAATTGATGGGACAGTGAGAAAGTTTCCCATAGCAAAAATAAGGGTGGATACTCCATATCATGTAGGAGACCTTGAGGCCATGTGTATCAAGGAACCAATACATAACTTGGTGACAGGAAACATACGAGGTGGTAGAAATTTGGAGGAACTAGACAGAAGGAAGATTGATGAAGCATCTGCTGTCACAACCAGAGCTCAAGAAAAGAAAAGCAAACAAGACATCAAGCCCCTGCAAGTATCAAATGGTGACATCCTTAATTTAGGTTTTCAGGAACTGAAGGAAGCACAGAAGAAAGACCCTTCACTACAGAAACTTTGGGGATTTAGCCCGGGAGAAAGTCAAGCACAAAACAAAGGAGAAAGATACAGAATAGAGGACAGCCATGGAGTTCTATACCAAATCTATCAAGGCAGTTATACTGGGGAAGTTAAATAGATCATAGTACCAACAGAATACTAGACTCAATGGACAAAGTTGGCTAATGAATCAATTGTGGGAAGACACCTAGGAACAAAGAAAATGGCAGAAAGAATCACCAGTAACTTCTATTAGCCAGGAATCATCGGAGATGTGAGTAGATCCTGCAGGTCATGTGACATCTGCCAGAGGACAATACCTAGAGGGAAAGCAGCCAAACTGCCATTGGGGGAGATGCCTCTCATAGAAGAGCTATTTAGCAGAGTAGCTGTGGACTTGACTAAGCCACTAGCACCTGTGTCTGACAAGGGAAACCGGTATGTGCTCTGGCAAAGATAGAGACAGGGAGAGTAGCAGAAGCCCTCCTGGAGATATTTTACAAAGTAGGCTTTCAGAGAGAAATCCTGAGTGACAGAGGGACCCAGTTTACTTCAGAAGTGATGCAAGAAGTGTGCAGACTCATCAGCACTCTGCAACTCTTTACCACCCTGTACAATCCTAAATTTAATGGATTTTGTGAGAGAGTCAATGGAGTTTTAAAGAGCATGTTATGGAAGATGTGCCAAAAGAGACCACATGACTGGGACAGGTATTTGCGGGCAGTATTATTTGCCTATCGAGAAGTACCACAAGCAAGTACAGGATTTTCATCCTTCGAGTTACTGTATGGAAGAACAGTACGAGGTCCGATGCAAATACTGAAAGAGCTATGGACAGGAGAAGAAGATTCAGAAGTAAGGAACACATACCAGTATGCATTAGATCTCATCAACTGAATGGAAGAGACCTGTCAACTCACTCAACAGAGTTTGTATGCAGCTCAAGGTAGTCAGAAGCATTTCTATGACAAGAAGGCCAAGGATCGACATTTCAAGGTTGGACAAAAGGTCTTATGTCTGCTGCCCACAGACCACAACAATGGAAAGGACCTTTTGAAGTACAGGAAGTACTCAACAGAATGGACTCCAGTGTGAATGTGAACGGGAAGACCAAGATCTACCATGCAGATATGTTGAAGAAGTTTTGGGAGAGAAGAATACCTAATGGGTGCAGCTATTGATGTACAAATGGACACTGCAGGTGTGAATGTCATGGAAGTAGAATCTTAAGATTCATTACAACTTAATGATAATATACTTACTAAGCCTAAGAGCACTGAGTAGAGATGAGATGTACATAGGAAGAGGGGAAGGGAACAAAATCTACTGTGTCAGCATAAATATAGATAAGGAAACATGGACATCTCGGCAACACAAGTTCAAGATGAAGATGAGGGATCCTGTTAAGGAGAAGCCCAACTGGAGACCAAACGCTAGGAGAGACAGATAAAGGAACTGTGAACGTTAGTGTAGACTGTATGAGCAGACTTTGTGGATGAACTAATGGCAGTCTTTGTATATAGTAAAAAAAAAATATTGTAAATAATTATTTTGAAGTGGGGTTTATGTTATGATATAAAAGACTGTTTAGTTCAGATATTATTGATTAATTTATTTTGTGAATGAATAATTAATTATTGTGTAGTTTTTGTTATAATGAGAGTTAAAAGTAGACGATTGTTGGAAGTTGTGTTTATACTGATGTTGAGAGTATCAAACGTCGCATACAATACGTTGATGTAGAGTATATAAAGATTTCTAGAAGGCGGGCAGACAATTAAGTGATAAACATATAAATAGTGTGAGACAAGCAGAAATAGCACCCAAAAATAGCAGAAGAGAGTAGTGTTACAAGGAAAAGTTTGGAGTGAAGTTATCTACCATAAAAGTGATAGGCCAAACGATTGACATAGGCCTAACATCTAATATGTTAGAGTAAGACTAACAGTAGAAAAGAAGATAAGAAGAAGAATTTATTCTGTCAAATTGTCATTCTAAAGTAACTGAATCAGCCTGAGTGCACTTTGACAAAAGGAACAGAGAACATTTAGAAGAAAGAAGACCAAACGATTACAGTAACTCGCGCCACAATTGTAAGTGAATCATACACAGAATACTAGTAACAGAAAAGATAGTTTGGCTTGTCAACTGAAATTCTAAAGCAACTGAACAGACCTAAGTGGGCTTTTGAAAAGAAGAAGAGAACTATATATATAGTGTTTCTGATATACCTATAATCTCTATAGTGTGAAGAATTTGTTGTACACATGTTTAACTTGTTCCAAATATATATATATATATATTATTTTCAAAACAAGAAGTGCATGCTGTTTATTTATCATTGAATTTATCATCAAGTCACAGACACCTACTATAGAAGAATCCTAAGCCCAACAACAACACAGTATATATATTTATACTATTAAGAAGTACAAGTAAAAGCCTTTTTAAATGACAATTGGCAACCATACTATAACTACAAATTCTGACAGTATTGAATTTGAATTTGAACCAAAAGCTACAAACACAAAAATAAGCCATTTTGAAGTTTAAGATTTAAGCAAACCTCTTAAGTTCCAACTTGCTGTAAATATTCATTACGATTAAGATGAATATCTTTTCACACATTTCTTAGATGATTTATAAAACAGCACAAAACAAACTTCATTGAATTACTAAAATGTACAAATAACTTCTCTAAATGAGAAATTCCATGTCAGGTTACAAAACAGTTACATTAAGATATTCAGGGGATGCATTAAATTCCATGTCTTCAATAACCTCTTAGTTTCTGCAGAACTTGGACAGAAATGGTTTCCCACTCTGATTCATGTATAGCTTATTTTTCTGTTTATCAGTCAGTTAACTCTCTTGAGCACATCACAACCTTTTACAGATTAAAATTCAAAATTTAATTAAACTACTTTATTATCAATGTATGAATAAACTTGGCATCAAAACACAGTTGATAAACCAAATTTTAATATTACGTAAGTCTTGATTTCCTTATTTTATAAGGATATGTTTAAATCAATCCTCCACCTCCTCTAGTAGGAGAATCATGGTATTTGTTCTCTAGGTGTTTCCCCTTTCTCTAATTTATTTACCACCCATCTCTGAAGTACAGAATCTAACATAAGTTACTCATTCTTTATAATACAGATATTACTAAGGAGATGCCTACTTTTTGTAGCCTTCAATCTTCTTTGTTTATGGAGTCATAAACTAGAAAATCAGACCTACTCGCCCCACTCATCTGTCACATCTTCTCTTTCACAAATAGCCAATAATTCTCTTTGATGTTTAATATCATTTATAACCAATAGAAAAGCCATATTTTAATCTAGTAAATGACGTATAATGGTACATTGTTTTTAATATTGAGTATTGTCAATACTGTCTTCTGACTGGAAGTTTAACTTGTGATGTTCAGATCAAGGAGCTAAGGGAATTATTTTAAGCCCCTCTTGTCTTAGTTACGAAGCCAGTTAAATTAGAAAAGTTATAGGACATTGTTTGTTTGGTGCACGTTATTATTCTGTGTTTTTAGATGTCTCACTTAATTAAATAAAAATTATTTAGTGTACTAGTATAATTATTAGAAAAAGAACAGGCTTACATTTCATCTGCAACCAACAGCAGAAAAAGAAGAGATCAAATGTAAGTACTACATTTCTTGTTTTTCATGTATATTTTCTATTTATTGTTACAAAAGAAATTAAAATGTAAAAATCAGAAACTTTCGATTAAATTAGATAAGGTAATGAAAAACATGAATAATAATAACAAGCAGCTCAAGTTTTATGTTATTCAATACAGTAACATGAGCTACATGTTTGCCCAGTGATTTACAACTTGTATGGCAGGATTATTAGTTAGACATGATTAATAGATATGCACTGTTACAAGTCCTAAGCTATTTAGAATAAACAACTGTAGTTTTTTGGTCACAATCTGCAGTTATTATGGAAAGAAAAAAAGGTAACTTAGATTTAGTTCCTATTTATTTATGGTGGTTATAAGGACAGACAAATGAACCATGTTCATATAGAGTAAGTAACAGATAAAATATAAAGTTTTACTGAAGAAAAAATGTTTAATATTTATTGAGGAGGTTTTAGATTTTATATTTGTTTGTTTGTAATTAAAATTAAGCACAAAGATACACAATGGGCTATCTGTGCTCTGCCCACCACAGGTATCGAAACCCAGTTTCTAGCATTGTAAGTCTGCAGACATACCGCTGTGCCACTGGGGGGCTTAGATGTTATGCAAGTGAAATTTCAAACATTTTCTGATGAAAAAAAGTTATTTTAATCTTAACATTCACTCAAAGCAATCAACACACTGATTTTATATATTCATGTCAAATCTTTTGTAAAAATATTTAATTAAGAATCTGATGTTTTTGGATATGAAAAAAACTTGTAATGTTTATTGAAAGCTTGCTAAATTTTGTGAAGGTACACGTACCATATTACAAATTATAGTATGGAAACTCTGATGGTTACTTTGTTCTTACAAGGTTGGTCACAGAGATCGATCTCATACGGATAGGGTTGAGTTACTAAAGTATATTCATATTTGGGTGACTTGGGATCAAAGTTCACATACTACGACCTTTTATAAGTGCCATTCAACATAATATTATTTATTTAAGAGTTATCAGTTATTCATTTTACCCCACAATGTTGATTTAGGGACAGTTTGTGGTAATTACCAAACACAATATGTATAGTGATACTCAAAAAACTGTAGATATGCATTTTAGAGGTTCTAGAGGTTATGCAAGTACAATATGCAAACTGTACAATGGAAAAACGTATTTTTATCCTTCATATGAACATAACCTTGCATCCAACTTGTGAAGAGTTAGAATGATGTCATCAATTCACAGACATATCCTGAGTACAAATACTTCTGTAACACATCTGAATTTTTATGTACAACATACTTGTACATTTGGAATTATAGTCAACATCTTTTCTCCAATACAGGGTCAATCCAATGAACTGAACCCATTCATATTTCAAAATTTACCTAAAAATATACAAACTCCAACAACATCAATTCCTTATTGATCTACCGTAGTCTGGTGCATTTTTCTAAAGCATTTTATAATTTTTTTTTAACGTAATTTGTATTTTGTTTATCATTTAATAATTGCATTTGAAAAATAGTTATGTTTATAACTGAAAATATGGGCAAACTAAAGAAGTGCCTAAAACCTAAAAGTTAAGTAAAAATATCAGTTCTTTGTTCTACATGACACAATCTAATCATTTTCATTTTGTTATACAGATAGCACAGTGAACTACAATACCTTCTCAGTTAATATACAAAATAATATATATACTACTTGATTCGGTGTGTCAAGCTGCGTGAGAACCAAAAGTGAAATAAGTGATTTTTGACAATTGGAAGACTGCTCCAATGGGAAATGTAAAGTAAGAAATATATTTATTTAGTAAAAAACAAGATATACATACAAAACAAAACATACTATACTACATATAGCTTAAAACATGTAATACTTTCTCATTTATTCAATATTTTGCTTTTGATATGTAGATGCAACAGTTTGAGTTAAGCATAAATTAATAAGCGAATCCACTAATACTTCAATTTAAAGTCAAATATCTTTGTAAAAACTCAGTAACTATTATTTAATAAAAGCTATGTCTTCCATCAGACAGTAATTAAAGTATAAAATCTTAACATATCTTTTAATTAAATATAATGAAAGCAAAAAAAAAATACTTACTTTAATATCATTTTTAACCGAAATATTTCCAAGTTCTTCACAGTTTCTTCCTGATTAGGAACTCGTGATGACAAACATTTCAATGATTTTACTATTCCTGAAAGTGCATCATTTTTGGATTCATTTTTGGCTTCTTTTTTGAGTTCCTCATCAGTCAGGTTGTCCAAGAAAGCAGGAATTACTTCAACAATAGGCATAAAATATTTTTCAATGGTGTGTACCGTTAGCATTTCAAAGCAAAGTCCAAAAGGCCTGTATATGTAAAAACAAAACAAAAACAGTAACACCTAAATAAACACACACACAAACTGAACAGATAAATAGTACACTAATAATACATTTCCATATTAATTTCTTTAGTTTTGAATTATGGCAGACCTACTATTTACCACTGTCCCTAATTTTGAACTGACTACTAAAGAGAAGACAACCAACCACCAGCACCCTCCATCTGCTCTATTTCTAATCTTTTTTTCCAACAAATAATGGACTTTACCATGTCACTAAAATGACCTTATGGCTGAAAGGATGAACATGTTTGTGGCACTGGAGATCAAATCCACAAATCTCAATTAACGATGCAATTACCAGCTATACCACCCTAAAGACATTATAATGTGACAGATAAACCTTTGTAAAGAAAGTAGTCTAAAAGTTGGTGGTGGATGCTGTCAGCCAGTTGTTTCCTCTCTCTAGTCAGCAGTTTTGAATTACGTATGGTAGCAGAAAGTCATAGTAGCTTTGTCGTAACTCATAGAAATGTGTTCTTCTTCAGCTATATATCAACTGAACTCATACACGAGACAGCTAGTATTATTTCTGTTGGCATGACTTCATACATTGCATCCTGCTTATACACTAGTTACAAATGTGAGATAGTGGTCAAGTGGTCATTGGTTAATTAACTAGCCACAGTGATGGCTTTTGTTCATGTTTACTTTGTTTAAACTAAACAGCATTGTATCTTTATTCAATTATATTGCTTACTTATTACTTGCTACAAACATTACTTAGGTCTTAGGGCAGGTATGCAATGAAGGAGATGGCTTGGGGGCTCTCCCCTTAGCTATAAACTTTTAAAATGTAAGTAAAAAAAAGAAATATATATATATATATATATATACACATTGTTCCCATAACTTGGGCAGAATGAAATTCCCTGACTTTTCCCAGACCTTTTCCTGACCAAAATATGTTAGTGATAGTTTATCAAAATATGCACACAAAAAATTCACTTGCTTATGATATTACATGTCAATCACTTTTTAAGCAGCATAAACAACACTACATTTTGAATTTCAATACATGGAAGGTACATATTCACTGTTGTAAAATGAAATATTCTTTAACAAGTATTCATATTTCTATACTATATGTACCCTATCAACTGGGAGCTAATATGTCAAATATTCATTACAGCAATATTTTCTGATGTGCATAAGTGTACAAAACTTACATTTCCTAAACAAGTACTTCAGTAAGCTTATATTTCCAAGATCTATAAAACAATTGCACATGTGTTTTGAAATTATGGATATCAAGTTCATGAATATAAAAGTGCTGAAAACTTTGAATTAACATGGCCATATATTTGTGGATAACCATGTACCAAGTACGTTTTCTGGTTTATGCGAGATTTGTTCATTCGCAAGATTGCCATAATATTTATACTTACAAAAAACTAGGTTGTAGCTTCTAAAGTTGGATACAAGACACTCATGCACAGAATAAGACCTACTGATAAAATATTCACAATATTCATAGTTCCTTTATTCCTACCCCATCATGATGTACAATTATCCTAATAAAGACTACAATGACTGGCACAGACATGAATGTTACTGTAGGCAACAATTTTCATAATAGTGTCACAACACTCAATTGACTCAAGTATCAAATTTTCATTTTGTTCTTGCATAATGCTGCTTATTAAATAAAATAAAAATAGTTACTGACTAAAACCTTTAACAAAAGTACTCACATTATATTTGTTCTAAAAACACTAACAATTCGCCCATACTAGCATCACACAATTAATAATTAATATCTAGATATCAAGAGCATATCATTGTCTCATAGTACACAAAAACAAAACCAGAACTATTAATCCAATTCTTTCAAGCTGCACATGCACATTTTTTCCTTCAGCCTCCATTATTTCCTGTCTCTAGCATTTTGTGTTGGTAGACAAACAGTAAATTTTCCTAATACATTACTCAGAAATCCAATGCATTAAATTATAGATTATTAAATAAACATGATGTATTCAGTTATTCACTGCTCCAAATTTAACTGTTCCCATAAATATTCATGGATAACAAATAGCTCCATAATCTCAGAAATCCTTACATGTGTGATATTATTAGTTACTGTCAATGAAATATTGTATATTTCAATACTTTTCAATTTGATTTTCTTCCAAAATTGATTATCTCTACATTAATGATATTATACGTTGAATCATCCATATTTTGCTTTATACGAGTTTTCCTTAACTGTCATTGGTGATATTCTATTTGTCTGGGAGATATCAACTCCTACCCAAACTGAACTATGTATCATGACATTGTACTATAGGTAATGCTTAGTGATGTATATTTTGTTTTACAATGAATTAAAATTACTGACAGATTTTTCATATAATTATTATAGTTATTTTTAATAACTAATTGAATAAATGTACGTACAGATATGAAATAAAATATCACCAAAACTGTGAAGATTTGTTCTATCTTTAAACTGCCAGGCTTTACAGAAATAAACAAATTGTTCATTTTTGTTTTGAAACCTTTCAAATCTGTAAGATTCAAATACAGTGACATAATATATTGTATGTTCCGTATATAACTATTTTATTAATACACTAAAATTTGTAAGATAAAAAGAAATTATTTGACAGCCTATCTCTAAATATTAATTTATCAATAAGTGCTTTAGTTCTGTAGTAAAATGATAATATGTAACAGTTTTGTGAAGACAAAATGAAGCCTCGTCCAAAGCCCTAACACTCCATTTAAGTGGGAACCTAGCTATTGTTTACATAATATATTACAACTGCACTTCACAACAATTAATGGTAAACAAAAAGACTGATGTAGATAAAATAATGTTTATGCATAAAACATGCATACTGATGTGCTATATGCACCAAAAAGTAACCCTTATGCAATTTTTAGGTACTACTGATAATTTGTTTTTGTCATTTGTGTCCTAAAAGCATTACTGAATCACATGAAATTCACTGACTTTTCACATTTCTTTTTCCTGTAAAAGTAAATTTCCTGATGTTTTCCAGGCCTGTGGGGACCATTTATGTGCTAAGAAGAGTCATATTTACATAGCTCAGTATTTATCTTTACTCTGAACTACTTTAAAACAATGAGAAATACACTGTTTATGTATACATTATTTGCTCAATATCCATTATAATATGCACTGAAGGCATTTAGTGTTGTTTCAATTTTTAAAACTGTGTTTTAATGAATAACATAAATATTAATTTATTATCAACTATATACACAGCATGGTCACAAGTAAATAGACACCACCTTTTCAGAAAAAATTAAA